TGGAGGTGAAAAAAGAAAAATGAGCAAGAAGAAGAGAACCTGGGGAAAGAGACTGAGTTGAAGGAAGAGGAGAGAAACAATGGGTATTTGAGAGGAAGAGTGGGAGAAGAAGCCAAAGAGAAGGAAGGAGAGCAAGAGAACCACAATGGACAGATGGGGGCATGAAGTTTAACAAAAGGGAGGGTAAGAAACAAGAAGGAAATAGGTTTAAAAAAAAAAAGAGAAAAGGACAGAATATAAAGGTAGAACATCTCATTCTCTTCAGACAACTCCTGAATGAACAATTCACTTAAACCATAGATGCCTCTGTATTTGCTCACAGGCACAAATCACAGCACCTCCTGCATCTGCACGATGCCGCTGTGGGGAAAGGCAACAGCAATGTCATTTTGGTTTCTGTACTTGTGTACTTCCTGCTTCAGTTAGGAGTTGAATCATGGCCTTGGAATTCACTGCTTGGTGTGTGGGTTTTGATGCTGAGGATCTGCCCTGTGAAAGGCTGCTGTGGGCCTTGGCAGAGCTTGGTGTAATAATAGGATTTCCTCTGCCTTTGTGAAGCTGTGGGTTCACGTCTAGTTCACAACCCATGTAGCGTTTATTCTCACCTTGCAGTGCTGCTTCTTCTGTCACTCTGCACTGTCAAATTGGTTTGGAAGGATTTAATTCCCCAAAAGGTACATGTACATTTTTTAAGGGAAAAAGTCTGTGTCAAATACAGAGGATCAACTTGGCACCACAGATTTTATTTTCTAAGGTGAACTGATATAAATGTGGGCATCACTTCACTCCCCTGTCGTTACGTACCGAGTTTGTTAAAACAGTGCGAGACGTTTCCACAATAAAGGTGTGAAAGACATGCACAGAGGACACAAAGAACATTCAGGTGTTGCTGACAGACACACAGACTGATACACATGCATTTACAACAGAATACAACACACACAAATACAGCCGGTTCACACTAAGTGATCTATTTTGAGCCTCTGTGAAACACATGATTAGCTCTTAGTTCTAGGTAGGTGAGCTGTTAATATATAGTCCAGACCTGTGGCGCCTGCAGGATTTGATTTTATAGAACAAGGACCACCTACAGCAGTGTAATGCTGCCACCATTGGAAAAAATGTTTGCAAAACCTTTCAAGTTAAAACAAGACATTTTTTCTCATAATTACAACATACTGTATTTTCTCATTACGACATACAGTAACTGGAGAGTGGCAGCAGCAACGCACACACTTTGAGCAGGACCTGCTTATCTAATTTAGTTTAGCAACAACCAGCGCTGCTATTAGGAGGTGTGCTCCAGCTGGCCCTTGGGAAAACACTGATCTGACACCTAAATCCACACAACAATTAGCCCGCAACATAACACATGTATCCAGGTCATCAGCCGTGATAAACAGAAAATACCCTGCACATGCGCCGATGACATTACAGGCATTGACAGCAGGTAAAGTCAGTGTGTGTGCTGCTGTCGCTGACTCCATGTTAGGGAGTAGTCTATATGATCCTAGGGGTGTGATATCATATTAGATATAGCTCCTCGGGCTATTTGGAAGTATAATTCTACAGCCTATACTATATGTTGATCATGCAATGACTGCCAGACGGATAAACCAAGCAAAATCATTTTTGAAAAATGTACGTGTGGTGTGTAACGGATTACGGCTGCAGGCACCACTGGTCCAGACTACAAGAGCTCTGACAGCTCCACTGGCAGCTGTACAGTACGTGTCCATGCCATTAACAGAACCACCACCATGTCTGATGGATTACTGGGTCAGGAGCTGGTCCTCTTTTTCTCCACACATGCCCCTTCCCATCCTTTTGATAGATTTCCATCAGTTTCATTTTCTACATCTTTGCAGACTGAAACCTGGCCTTTCTGTGGTTGAGGTATACTAGAGGTTTGCATTTTGTGTTGAATCCTCACAGGTTCTGGTCAGGAAGTTGTTTTTTTTTTTTTTTTTTTTGTTCGCTGACAAGGAAATGTACATCTGCATCCTTGGGAGCATTCTTGATTTGCAGTCACAAAAAGGCACAAATGATTCTCTGCTCATCCACAACACGTTCCCCAGTCTAGCAGCTCGTTTGCCATTTTCAGATTTTCCTGTGCCCACCTACTAGAACCAACTACCTTTGATATCTCTGATAGTTTTTTGCTTTTTTGGAGCCTCTTTATCAACTTCTTCACTTGCATGGTCACCTCTTCACTACTCAGGCAACTGTACCTCAACTGTACCTCAATCGACCAACCATGGACCATGTTTACACACACACACACACACAGCTGCACAAAAAAGTCAAATACTTGATGAGTTTGGAAACTATATGTTAAAAGGGTCATCTCTCACAGACTTTGTTCCTTTACTGACGTAAATCTACTCAAAATAAAGCTGAGACTTTAATGCAGTGTTCATTACTTTATTTCCAATACATTGCACTGAAGGACAAAGCCTAAAACATAAAAAGTCTTAGTCTTGAATGGCTGTCTGAGCTTTCACCTTAAAACCCTCTTCTTAGACACAGCACAAAAGGCTACAAGGCCTTCAGCTTCCATTCATGTAGAAAAACGTGGACAGTGAAATCACAGTAAGACCACAGGTACATATTAATATGCTAAGTATACATTTTTGTTTGGTCCACGCTTTAGTACAGCCCCTGCAGCTCTTACAGCTCATATCTCAAAAGTTAATCCCAATTATTAAAAACATTAGGGTGCCCCACTTTGTGTAGCCTGCTGTCCCACTTTGCCAAACACTGAGCGAGCTGTGCAAGAATGAATCTGCAGACTCGAGCTACAGGAATTCCTTTTGTGCTTCTCCTGCAGTTAAATGAACTCATCTTACTCATACCATCACCAGATCAAAAACTGTTGCTCAAAGGTGCCTGAGACAAGTGTTCACGTTGGATCTTGCGATGCAACATCAGCAAAGAGATCTCATATTATTTATCAAGTCTACTGGTCTGGAAAGCTGCTCAACACCAAAGCAAACCACAGAGACAATCGATCTAAGAGACTGATGGCGAGTCCAGCTTTCTCTGGACAGAGCACTGAACCCTGCTCTTCAGGTTTTAGGTTATGACACCTCACAACCTGATACTGAGCACCATAACTGTTCTGTGTCGTTCTGACACAGGTGTACTTTTAAATAAATATCTTGTCTGAAGGATAATCATGTAAATTAGTTACAGCTGTTTGTTGTTGTGGGATGGCATTAACTGCTGGTTTTTGTTTAGCAGCTCTCAGCATCACATGCAGGCACAAACTCATTTACATGCCCCGTGCTCTCCGTTGTTTACACAAGAGACAGGAAGGATGACAAGATGTGAACTCTGACCTCTCCTGCCATGAACTGTCCGAACCCAGGTGGGAAGGTCAAGGTGGCGATGATCAGCGTTACCACTGCAGGAAAAACCAGCCGACTGGGAAGGCAAGCAGAGAAAAGGAAAGTCAGCAAAGGCTTTGACTGAAAAACATAAATCATTATCCAGAATTGTCTTCAGCCGGATTCTGATAAACAGAGATCCTTGTTCCTGCACATGGTTAAACAAATCCCGCCATCAGCAGGTCCCCTTATGGATCACAGTAAGCCTGGTGCCAGGAATCTGGTTTAAGCATTGAGCAGCATACAAAGCTTGATCAATCATGTTTCTAATCAGCTCAGAAATGTTTCAAAGATATGATAAATGTTAACTTTTAAAAGACACAATGCCTGTTTTATATGATTTCATCTCAAAAGTTGGATCACTGCAGCAGCCTTGCCACCTGAGCCAAAAATCTATTCTTCGACTTCAGGCCAGGCTGTCCAGAACTCAGCTGCCAGACTTTCATCCAGAATTAGGAGACGTGATTACATCACTCCTGTTCATCAAATATTCTAACAAATACTGAGACTCACTATTTGGTCAGGAAGCGGGTCATGGCATTGGGTCGTCTCATGAACACCACCACCTGTCTGTTGAGATAGACGAAGAACGCCCCCAGGAAACCGCAAGAGATCCTGCACAAACAGACAGACCTCATGCTAGGTAAAGCAAATTGTATGATGAAATCACAAGGTGTTTACAAACTGATGACTGCACCGACTCAAAATTACTTGTTAATAAAATATATTATCAATAAATAATCATGAAGGTGGCCACTGGCGCTCTATTTCTCTCTTTCCAATCCCACATCTCAAATGCTAAGTATGATTGGTGAACATTTCCCATCTCGCCCTGAAGAGTGACACAGTGTTGACATGCATACACAAAAATAAAGCCAACATGTGTCTTTGCTTCAGTTTTTCAGCTGCTCACCCAATGATGGCGAATGCAGGTAGCTCCTGCAGGTCAAAGGGGAAATCCATGCGAAAGTTTGTCCTGAACAGAGCAGTAATGGTTACTAGAAGACGAAGAAAAGATGAGCAGGTGAAATTTATACAATCGGTTGTTACTGACCTAAGCACAGGACCAGAAAGGGTGATGCTTTTAGCTTTTCATAAACAGGCTTTACTCTTAAAAAAACCAAACAAGGGATTTTCTTTCCTACACCTGCAGCCATTTGATATTTCTTAAAGATATTTCTTGGTTTGTCTAAAGCTCAATTGAATATTTTTGTAAGACAATTTATAACATGAGTCAGGCATTAAAACACTGCTGCTACATGCTGGAGCAGGACACCATCTACTGTGCATACAGTAGGAGTATCAATAAAAGCTGACAGCTGCTTGGTGAGGGAGCTAAGGGTGCCCTCTAGTGCATGTTTGATAAAGTGAAAGTGATGTTATACTGTCCAGAATCTCACACGCAAAAACAACATTGGTCATTTTTCCTCAGACCAATACCTGCGTCTTTGTTGAACACCGATAACACTCTGAAAATGAAGGCACTAAAAGTAGCAGCAAAGTATCCTCTCCAGTAGTTTCTCACAGCAAAGTATGTGGATGTTACCTCTATGCTGAAGAGCACACCTGGTGGAGAAAGGAAACCGGTAATCAAGCAGAGACGCACCAATCTAGAGTTAAAGATGCATTCAAACAACCAAATGTGTATTTTTCTGTAAATATTCTAAGCAACGCTTTGTAAACCAAAGGATTTGCACAGAAACCATATTGTCAGGTTCCTGTGTATCTTACAAGCATTTTGAAGGAAAGTGAGTAAAAAAAAAAAACAGCAGGACAGGAAAAGGAAAAGACTGTATACCTCCAAGTGGAGTACCAAAGCAGCAGCCCACCCCCACAGCACAGCCCACTGTCAGAATGTCTGTGTAACAGTATGGATTCTACTGATCCAGACAGGAAGAGGAGGAGACAGGATCGAGACAACAGAAGTACAACATTTAAATGAGGAATACCCCACACAGGACATGTTTTTATAATCACACTTAACAGTTCATCATAAAGTGTTACCTGACATCAGCTTACCTGATAAACTCCTGAAAAGAAGCACATGAACCTGCTGAGAACTGCTGCACAGATACTGGCAATGTGAACAAACGGGCCCTGGGGAAAGTGCAAAATGAAATTCAATCATGTTCCAATGTATAAACTGCACAAAAATTACACCACAGATCCTGTTTCTATGTTCAGTCAAAGTAAAAAATGCAGAGGAAAAGACTGATTATCGATCAAAGCCCGTCTCACTCTGGGTTCACCGACCTCTTTGCCCACAGGCATGCCACTACCCAGGGCAGCGGTCAGGCCGATTACTTTAGCAATAAAGGCCTTGAGAGTCAAATATTCCTTTAGCACCACACCTCTCAGAATGGTCTTCAACTCTGGGATACCAGAACCTGAGACAGGAAGGGAAAGGAGTTTGTTTAGAACTGGAAGAGGGGAATCTGTGGAGCTTGTGGGAGCCATGTAAAAAGCTGGACACAGTTTCTTAAATCTCTGAGCTTCCTGGTTTGTTGATGTTTTTTCTGCTCTAAACAGGGCTATTTCCAAACTATTTGCTCTTGCTTTAGAAGAAAACAGCTTAAATATAATCACCACAGGTGGAAATGGCATGACACAATTTGGAAAACATGCTTTTATTCCTGTAAAGCTGAGGCGGGTAATCAAGCACTAAGCCGCTGCATGGTTTCACTCCCATCAAATGCCACGGCATCTGATTTCACTGATTAGCCACAATGAAGATATCAGTGGATTTTTTTTTTTGTTTGCTGGTCGGTCTGCGTTTGGAGTTAAAAGCTGCAGATTGTCGGCCCCCCATGACACAGGGATCCCAAACCAACTGTAAAAATCAGAGGTCATTCTCTGAGACTGTTACCAAAGCCCTTGGCTCTCAACAATATCCCCCTTTAATACTGCCAATGGAAACCCACATACTTGGCTGACTATCCCAAATTTTAATTGTACAACAAAGCCAGGGCTGTGTACGAACACCAGATTGTTTTCTTAGCCCACACACAGAACACACAACTAGTGAGGAGGTATTTGCTGAATCTGACAAAAAGCAACCATTCTGAAACCTTCCAGCACAGAATCAAAGGCAGGTGAGAACAGAGTAGTATGAGAACACAGACGTAAGCAGAAAAAGGGTACAGACCGATAGCTTGAGGAGAAACCAGGTGACAGAAGAGGGAGGAGAACAGGATGAACATCAGGGGATATGAAACCCAAGCCAGGTACTGCAGGGGGATGTTCCCCCTCAGCTCCCTGTGAATCCATTTATAGGCTGAAGAAGGGAGGGAAGAGGAAAGAAAGAGACAAGAGACATAAAAGAAACAGGAGAAAAGGAGAAGCAGAAGAAGAATGGACTGAGGAAGAGGAAGTCAGGAGAAATGGACCAAAAGCAGGAGAGTGAACATAAGGTAGGAGGAGGAGACAGAAGGCAAGGAAAGCAACAAGCAAAAAGTACAACTCAGAAAAGAAAAGAAATATGCACATATCTGGCACCTGGTTTTCCTTTCCTTTAACAGCCTCTGAAACAGAGTGAAGGGCATGCAGTCCTACCTTGCAGACTCTTCGCACTGGCATAGTCCATTGACCAGCTGACCAGTGCCATTGTGATGCCTAGCAGAACAAGGAAGATCCAGTCTTCTCCCAGCCTGGTCACAAGGAATCGCTGTACCCGTGCTACGCAGTCTGACAAAACCAACCACCACAAAAGCTCACAGAAAAGGAGTAACAGCATCTGTCTCTCTACTTAGCTGTTTTATCTTTCCTCAGGTCTGCTCACCTCTACACTTGGAGTAGGAGCGTTTCTTCTTCATAGAGGATGTGAAGTCGAGCTCGGCTGTTTGCTCCTCAGTAGCCTCTGCCTCCATGTAGGACTGACGCCTGTACCTCTGCCTGTTGTGGAAGCTGTGCTGAAGTCCGTGTCGACCGTGGAATCCGTTCTGACCACGGCCACGGCGGCCATGTCCGTGTTGCGTCCTCCCATGGCTGCGGCGATTATCGCCGTGTTTCTTGATCTGTCTCTCTGTCAGCAGGCGTGTGGCCTCCAGTCTGCCGGAGCCTCCTTGGTGCTCTTGGTACTCCCCATAGAGCTGTCAGTCGGAAAATCAATCCATTAATTGACTTGTATACGAGCGTACAAAATATACTATCCAGCATTCATTCATTGGACATGAAAAAGTGAGAACGTGTGGTGCCAGAACACTTTCCTTTGGGCACTCTGTCAGAGAAGGCCCTGTCTTATAAATAGACAGGCCGCGTGTTGACCCAAACAGCACTAATGGAAGCGGAAACGCAGGCTATGCCTCTGGAATGATCGCCCTGGACAAACTCCATGAAAACCGCCTGGGACATCTGCGGAACAGATTAATCCTCAGCTCTCTTTCACTAGCACAAATATCTCCAGTCCCAGCAGCATATGCCCTCGTTCATTGTTTTGTCCTTTTCCTCTATACAGAATATCTCACACGCTTCCAGTGCAAGGCTCACTGCATAGTATTCGCTTTTTTTTCCTCTACATTTGAGGAGAGAATACGTTTCAAAAACACCTTTCTGTAGTCTGCTATCATCACAAACTTTTAGACAGCCTCCTCTTATCACTCTGAAAGAAAATGACAGCAAAAAGGGAAGAAGAGAGGAGGATCATGATTAGACTCTGCCTCTGGTTTGTTGTGTTTTTATTCCTCTTTACTGTGTAATAATCACCCAGTAATATCTGTACTAGTTACAGTCTGTAAAAACTGGCCTTGTTTTTATACAAATGATCTAAACTGGAAGTGCACTCTGACAACAGTGACATGTGACTACTACATAGGGAGGTCACAGATGTGAAAGTAAAAGGGTGTAAGAGTTTGAGTACACTTAAATGTCATGTTTAAATTATACACCTATAAATGCCCATGGCATATACAGCTTGTGCTCCATCCATACTGCTCAGAAGTACAATTAATCAACATGTACTTATTGGTCTGCACTACTGGATCAGTGGTTAGTACTCCAGAACTGCATCATAAACATTCAACCTGGGCACATATATATTTTGGATTCATCAAGCACAGACAATAGCACTCCAGCGATAAGCTGCTAAGTTGTGTCTGGTGCTGCCGCTCAGGACGTCTGTGCACTAACCTTTCAACAGCTTCTAATTTAGAAGGTTCATGAAAAGACAGACTGATGGATGGTTATAGATACACATACACGTACATAAGGAACTGGGGATGCCGTGTGAACAGAGATGACAGTCGATACACTGCGAAACCTGAGCAGTGTTGATGCACAATGTGCTGTAACCGAATGCCAACACATTCACACAACAGAAAACCACACGTCTTGACTGAACGGCAGTCCCCGTGTCTAACACTAGTACACACACCATGTTGTTCCTCTACAGTATAGTGAGGTGAGACAAGACTTGGAAGACTTAAGTGCACTTCTTATAAGAAGAGCAATTTTTCCTGGCATGCTCCAAAAGCTCACATACGTTAGGGTACTGCACGCAAACGCACTAAACTTGACTGTGTATCTCATCTGCCCGCCATCATCATAGCCTGAGTGACCACACAGCACTGGATTTTCTTTAGGCTAAAAAACTGAAAGTTTCATGCATATAAAACTGTCTTTCCTATACAGTAAACAAGCATCCACACCAACACAAGTGTGCCTGCTCCAATGCTCTTGCTGTCGTTAGATGCTCTCAATTTTAACTTGACCTTAAAACAGCAGTTTGAACATAGAAAACAATATAATCATGGCACCACTGTTAACAGCAGGCTTAATTAGCAAAGCTACCAACTGTAAAGCAATAACAAAAGAAGCTAGGGTTGCACACACCTAAGCACCTGGTTAGTAACCAGCTCAGAATAACCTCGACTATTAAACACTTGTTTGTTAAGTCACAATCAAAAGACACTGAACTGTGCCTATAACCTATAGAAGGATTAGCTAAGGTGAGAGCAGATATGTTTACAACAACAAAGCCGTGGTTGGCAGACCTGACCTTATTGTTAACTACACACAGTGAAGGAAGTGGCACCACAACAACTTCCCTGCTCTTACTGTGCAGGGCAGGAGTTCCTCTAATCTGGCAATCGCTGTTATGCTGTCAGTAACCCATCTGCCTCACACTCCCCCCCACACTTTACCTCCTTCCACCTCTCCTTCCTGTTTTCCCTCTTGACCAGTGAAACTCTACTCTGCACTAATCACTTGAACTCCTTTACCCCCTTCTTTCGTTGCCCCCTACTCTCCCCTCTCTCTCTCTCTCTGAGCAGGTGAAACACTACTCTGGGCTAAATTTAGTACCGGTGAGATCCAATATTCCTCATTACACTTCCCACACCTCTCTCTCACCATCAGTGTACCTTTACATGCCTCCTGATATTCCTCCCTCTCTCCTGCATCTCACTGTGTCCTTCCAGCTGTCTCCTAGTCCATCAAAGACTTATAAACAGGAAGTATAAACTGATAAAACCTCTCTAATATTCTAGCATCGTTTCTGCCAACTAAGAGTAAACGTTCGTACTACACATACTGTACACTATAAACCATGCAGAAGTTCGGGTACAGAATCTGGGATGAGCTGCAGAAGGCCGAGAAAACAAGGAAAAGCAACAAATGCATGAGGCAGAGCACTACCAAGGCAGCCCAACACGAAGTAGATGTTGCTGCACCTTTTGCTATGGTTTAACGACACCCAACAGGAGAATTAGTGCCACCAGCTGCTCAATGAACCAACCTCTAAATGTTTGCAAAAAAGCACTGGATAGAAATGCAATAATTATCATCCTCTTTTGCAGTTTTTCTGGAAATTGGGGTTAAAAATTGTGCAACACTTGTTTGGAAATTGGAATAGCTATTTTACTGGCAAACTCTTGCACCAGGTACAATGAGGAATATAGTGTTTATTCAAGATGTAGTGACAGTAACATGGTGCTGATGTTGTTTCCCAGCTGGATCATATCACATTACGGAAATGAGCTCCACTGTCATTGAACAGCCCTCTAATGTCCACATACCTGTGCACAGAGCTACGTGGCTACAGCTGAAGTCAAACCCATCGCATATGAAGGTCTTCTAAAATAGAGAGGGGTTTAACTCCATACATTCTCTTCATGACTGCCAGCTCCCCGGCCATGTGTTCTGTCACCATAGCACTGGGGGTAGCGGGTGGCCACTATTACCACACGCTGTCAGTTATTTATTATGTTTTTAAATGTAGCCCTGTCTGTAGGGTTACAGTATCTCTGACTTAAAAACAGAGGAAAAAGAAAATGAAATCGCAGCCTTGCTCCCATGGGTGACAGCATGAACATAAACATATGGGCTGCAAAGCCTTCAAAAGCACACACACACACACACACACACACACACACACAGCGGTTAGATGACTTTGCAGTCCCTGGACTACCCATGGGCATAGAGTTTCAACAACCACTAAATTCAGTAAGTCACCACGATCACCAGCCCTCACATACCGGCCAATCAACACCACAGAGCCTCTGCAGCTGGATGAGGACTGTAGAGTGAAATCCACCTTTATTCCAGAATCATCTGTCATTCACAACAAGTTCAGGGTTTGAACTTTGTTTCTGTATTTCTAAAGTGATTTTTTCCCCCCAAATTAAAACATTTTCTTGAATGATCTGCGAGAGTAAAAAAAAAAAAAAAACAGGTTGACAACATTAGGTTTTTTTGTCATCTGGAATTCTTTCATTTTATACTGGGAACTACTTGGACCAGTCCCAGGAACGGTGACACAGATCTCCCCACGCCCCAGGAATGGTGCTGGGCTGTAAAGCAATTCTGATGCAGTGACCAAACCCCATTGCTACGACTTGGCCCAAAAAGTATTTCCACATACATAACCACTGAAAAAGGCGCAGCTACAAACGGTGAGTAAATTGTTTGAGTGTCAAATTCCAAAAAATGACCCTTTTTAATCAGGATTTGATCCAATATCATTTGAACTGGAAGTGGAACATCCAGATAACTTTAATGGCTTTTATCGACAAGCACGAAGATTGGAATGTTCTCCTAGTACATGCCACTGATCAACTTTTATAGAAATGACTTGGTGCCATCTTGTAATCTGGCATCCAGTTCTCCTTAATACACCTACGGCTTCCCTCCCCTTGGCTTGCCTCCTCTCCTCCACTACACATAGATGTGAACAAATAGAGACAAAAGTAAAGTATCACTGACCCACCATTCTGATCAGAGAAAATAAAAACACAAACGTCAAGACAATATTTATGAAGTAAAAAATGTAATGTCCTGGTGAAAAATCAAATACTACCAATGTGTAGTGAAAGTACATCTGCAGCTTGTTGCAGTTTTTCACTATTTCTCCTCAACTTCGGTCAGAAGCATATTCTGTGCTCAGCACCATAAAACCCTATTTACTGTAAACTATGTATTCACAACAAGATATTAGTTCAGTGTTATTGTATCACACTGTGAAACAACCTACAGCTGTTTCAGTGCCTCTGGTGTCAGTGTGCAGCCACACAGAAGCATTATCACAAAAACAAAGAAAATATGATGTACACAGATTTACAGGCAAGGAAACATACTGTGTTACATATATCCCAGAGCAACCAGGGGGCAGAGAGCGCAGCAAACAGGTGGCCAGCAGAGAAAGTTGGAATCAGCAAGACAGAAACTCAGTGTGTATGTGCACATGTATATGAGCACGCCAAGATCAGGGGTGAGGGAGGTACACAGTGCCTAAGCACCTGTTGTGTACCCAACGTGTGTGACCCTGTTGTTATACATCACCTAATTGGCCTTCAGTTTGTCTAGAACACACACACCCAGAGTGTGCGGTTCATTCACAAGCACACACACACACCAAGTTGGACAGTCTCTGTCCATGCACATGCAGTATGATCTGCCAATGCAGGTGCGTCATGCAAGAATGACAGAGATTCAGGAAAAGAAACTGAAGAGACAACAGTGAGACACAAATGTGAGAAAGAGGCCGACACAGAGAGAAACAGAGAAAGAAAGAGGGAAGAGCTGAGAGAGAGGGCAACAGAGAGGGCACTGACCAGGGTTTGCTTGTATCTCAGAGCCGTCCTTTCCGATGCATCTG